GCCATGGTCATCCAGGTCAACTGAGGAGGGCTCCTGCTTGGGAGTCCCTCACATCTTAGTCAGCTGAATGGCACTGCCCTCTGGTGGCCAGTGCATGTCATAACGACCAGTCAACTATAGTAAAGCGGTTGACCAGATGACTAGTTGCTTAGGCTTTTATATACATTGAATGGCCAGATTAACATGATCTCTGAACACATAATAATCTGGCCACTCAATGTATATCTACACCAATAAAAGAGAAATATGCAAATTGACCATACCTCCACAGTGCACACAAGCCAATCAGGAGTGAATATGCAAATTAACCCAACAAAGATGGAAGATTAACTTGCATATGCAGACACGGAGCGGCTGGGGGTGGGGTGGCCGCTTGTGTGCTTGCTGGCACCAAGCAGCCTGTGTCCTGGGGACAGGCATCCTTGGGAGTCAGGTCACTCTGAGTCTGTAGACCTGTGCATAGGTACGGAGTGGCTGGGGTCCCAGAACGACCCCCAAGCCACTTTGAGCTTATGCAGTCAGGCACAGAGCAGCCAGGGGTAGGGTGGAAACATTCCAGGACTCCAGGCACTTAGAGCCAGTGCATGCACAAGTGGCTGGAGGCAGGGTAGGAATGTTCCTTGTAGCGAATGAGCAGACAGCAAGGCCCTGTTTGTCCCTGGCCATGGAAGTAAGGGACAAGCAGTTACCCATAGGGCCCCCACAGAGAGCAGACACCAGGACCATGCTTTCCCTTGTGGTGGCAAGCCAGAGAGCAGTCAGCGGGCCCTCTTTGCCCCTGGCCTTGGTGGCTAAGGGCAAGCAGGCCCTCACAGAGAGCAGACACCATGGCCTGCAGTGGCATGAAGCAAGCAAGTCTGCAGAGAGCAGAGAACTACGGGGAGCCAGCCTAAGCCATCAGTAGGACATCCCCTGAGGGCTCCCAGATTGGAGAGGGTGCAGGTTGGGCTGAGGGACCCCTCCCCACCCTGCATGAATTTTGTGTACTGGGCCCCTAGTCCTATATAATAAAAGGCTAATGTGCAAATTGTCCCCTCCACCAGGAATTTGACCTGTAGGCAAGCTGGCCAACTGCCCATAACCCCTCCCCCTGGCCAGGCTGGCCGGACACCCCTTACCCCCATGCACAAATTCATGCACCGGGCCTCATAAACACACACACACATTGAGTGGCCAGATTATTATGTGTTCAGAGATCATAATAATCTGGCCACTCAGTGTATATAAATATGATATACATAATAATAAACATCTATACTAATAAATGCCTAGGTGGCCCTCGCACGATGCTCTCATGTCATCACAAGATGTCCACCCCCATGTAATAAGATGTCTGCCCTCACGTTGTCACAAGATTGCCACCACAAGATGGCCACCACAAGATGGCCGGCAGGGGAAGGCAATTATGGGCAATTAGGCCAGCAGGGGAAGGAAGTTTGAGGTGAACAGGCCAGCAGAGGAGGGCAGTTGGGGGCAATCAGGCTGGCAGGGAGGGCAGTTGGAGGGTGACCAGATGTGAAGGGGAGGGCACTTGGGGGTGATCAGGCTGGCAGGAGAGTGGTTAGGGGGTGGTCAGGTTGGCAGGCAGAAGCGGTTAGGGGTAATCAGGCAGGCAGGCAAGTTGTTAGGAGTCAGCAGTCCCAGATTGTGAATCGGACATCCCTCAAGGGGTCTCAGATTGGAGAGGGTGCAGGCCCCACCAGTGCATGAGTTTGTGCACCAGGCATCTAGTGTAAGTATATAATACTAGAGGCCCAGTGCAAAAATTTGTGCACTGGTAGGGTCCTTCTCCCTGGCCTGTGTCCTCTTGCAATTAAGGACCCCTCTGGGGATGTCAGACTGCTGGTTTCAGCCAGGTCCCCGAAGAGAGGCTGAGAGAGCCCACCAGTGCACGAATTCATGCTCTGGGCCTCTAGTATGCATATAAGATCTTTGATTAATCTCTTTCTGCCCTTCCCTCTCCATCGTCCCTCTGAGATTCATCAGTCTGTTCCATGTTTCTATGACTGTGGTTTCCGCTTCTGCATTAAGCATGTGCCCTCTGGTGGTCAGTGTTTGTAATAGCTACAGGTTGAATGGTTGCTTGGGCTTTTATATATATAGATGTCACAGAATGCTAAGAAGTAAAATCAAGCCCTGACCAGTTTGGCTCAGTGGATAGAGTGTTGGTCTCCAGACTGAAGGGTCCCAGGTTCTATTCTGGTCAAGGTCATGTACGTTGGTTGTGGGCACATCCCCAGTAGGAGGTGTGCAGGAGACAGCTGATCAATGGTTCTCTCTCATCGATGTTTATAACTATCACTATCCCTTTTTCTCTGTAAAAAAAAATCAATAAAATAACATATTTTTTAAAATCAAGAATAATGAGTGCTAGCAGAGGTGTAGTGATGCTTGCTATTTTGTATAGGATAATGAGAGAAGGCCATTAAGTGCAACACCAAAGGACCTGCAGTTATTTGGGGGAAGTATGTTCCAGGCAGAGGGAATAGCTAGTTCAGAGGTCCTATATAGTGAGTGAGAAAACATAGTAGGAATGATAGGGAACTTGAATGGTTTTCTAGTGAGGGAACACCATCACGTTTCTATTTTACTAAGATCATTGATGCAAAACAGTGGACACAAGACATTGGGGGGTGAGGGCACATATGGGAGTGAGGTGGGGCAGGGAGAATGGGAAGATATGTACACGTGTAATACCTTAATTAAAAAAAAAAGGAAAAAAAGAGAATATAATGTTGGATTTATGATGACAATGGCTTCATTGTAATGGGCACTGGTCAGAACGCATCAGGAATATTGTGTTATTTTTGGTGCCATATTTTAAGCGGATATTGTCAGATGAAGAAAATTTGATAATGAAGAAAAACCACGTTCAAAGAATTGGGGATGTTTAACCAGAACAAGAGAAGTTGTGATGAGACATTGTAACTAGGGTGACCATATGTTTGGGTTCACCAGGGTCATTCCCTGTTTATTTCTGTTTCTCAGTTCCCAATCTGGCTTAGCATATGTCCCATATAGGTTATTTTCACATTTTGAGAAAGAAATATTTTTTAAATGCTTTGGTATTAGAACATTTTTATAGCTCTCCCAATATACTAAACCCTAACATTAAAATAATAAACACAAATTTTTAAAATTATAATTTAAAAATTATTTTGGAATTATCTTTTACTTAAAAAATTGTTCCCATTTTGGATAATAAATTATATAGTTATCTAATAACTGTCTCACTGTTTAAAGGATTCTCTTATTAAGCTGTTTACTTTTTTATAAAGAACTGCTTTTATGTAGTTCACAGATGATTTTTGATTAATTAGTGCACATTGTAAGAAGTTGAATTGCAGCTCAATCTGAACTTCATGATGTAGTAGGATCTCACCTCTGGGAAAATTCAAGGGAAAATTCAAAGTCATCAAGGAAATTGATGACTGCTTGCATGCCATGGATTTAAAAATACCACATCACACCTACCATCAATAATGTAGGATGTGGAGGAAAAGGATCCCAAGTACACTGCTGGTGGGAATTCAGGCTGGTACAACCACTATAGAAAACAGTGTGGAGTTCCCTCAAAAAATTGAAAATGGAGCTCCATTTGACCCAGTTATCTTACTTTTAGGAATATATCCTAAGAAGCCTGAAACACCAATTAGAAAGAATATATGCATGCTTATGTTCATAGCAACATTATGTACAATAGCTAAGATCTGGAAACAGCCCAAGTGCCCCTCAGTAGATGAGTGGATAAAACTGCTGTGGTACTTTGTTACAATGGAATACTATGAAACTATAAAAAGAAGTATCTATTACCCTTTATGACACCACATAAAGGGACCTGGGATGATTATGCTAAGTGAAATAAGCCAATCAGAGAAAGACAAATATGATCTCCCTTTATGTGGAATCTAATGAACAAAATAAACTTACAAACAAACTAGATCCAGAAACATGGAAGCATGCAACAGACTGATGAATCTCAGAGGAAGTGGGGTGGCAGGAAGAGATTTAACCAAGGAATTTATAGGCATATATGCATAACTGATGAACACAGACAATAGTGTGGTGAAGCCTGGGGAGGAGATGAAAGTGGGGAGGAGGGGGTCAATGCAGAAAAAAGGGACATCTGTAATACTTTTAACAATAAAGATAAATTAAAAAAAAAAAGATCATTGATGCACAGTATTGTGGAAGATGGGTTATAGATAGTTTGAGATGGGTATGAGGAAGGAGCTAAGAAACCTGAAGAAAGGCACTGACCATTTCCACAGGTATTTAGAAGGTGGAATTAACAGATATCGGTGACTAGATATTATAAGCAAGGAAGAACAAGGATTCTGCTCATATATTTTTTAAAAATATATTTTATTGATTTTTTTACAGAGAGAAAGAGAGAGGGATAGAGAGTTAGAAACATCTATGAGAGAGAATCATCGATCAGCTGCCTCTTACACACCCCCTACTGGATATGTCCGCAACCAAGGTATTTGCCCTTCACCAGAATCGAACCCGGAACCTTTCAGTCTGCAGGCCGATGCTCTATCCACTGAGCCAAACCGGTTTCGGCTGCTCATATTTCTGACTTAGGAAGAAAGAATGCAAGAATGAATGTTGGTCCTATCAACCAAGATAGGAAATACAGAAAAAACAGTTTTAATAAATAGAGGAAGACCAAGGAAGCATGGCAGGAAAATTGCTTCAGTTTTGGACATACTGAGTTTGAGATATTTGACCTAACCAAGTGAGTGTATAGGTATAGAGTTTAGAGTGGGATCTGGGAGAAAGTGTGGGCTGAAGATATGGATTTGAAAGTCATTGGCATATAGAGGTAATAGTTAAAACCATTGAAATTTTCTTTTGAATAGCGGTGTTTTGCTATTTAAATATTATGTTTAAAAATCTGAAATTTCACAGTTATTTGTTTCTTATTTAACTTCTTAACTTGTTGATAAAACTTTAGAAAGTATTCCTCATGGGTATTTTTCTTTGTGTCAATTCAGGAAAATTTAAACCTAGCCCTGAATTCTGCCTCAGCCATTGGATGTACAGTGGTTAATATTGGTGCACAGGATCTCAAAGAAGGAAAACCTCACTTGGTCTTGGGACTTCTCTGGCAGATCATCAAAGTTGGTCTTTTTGCTGATATTGAGATTTCCAGGAATGAAGGTATGATCATAAAAAATATTTACTTTTCATTTACATACACTTACTGCAAGAAGAATTTATATTTCTGTGTTTTCCTCTTAGCTCTGATTGCATTGCTAAATGAAGGTGAGGAACTAGAAGAGCTGATGAAGCTTTCTCCAGAGGAGTTATTGTTGCGATGGGTGAACTACCATTTGACCAATGCAGGATGGCATACCATCAACAACTTTAGCCAAGACATTAAGGTTTATATTTTAATTTTCAAATTTGTAACAGAAAGTAAGGATGCAGAAAGTAAAAACAAAAGAGTTATAGACTTGCCTGGCCAGTGTGTCTCAGTGGTTGAATGTCAACCTATGAAGCAGGAGGTCACAGTTCCATTCCCTGTAGGGCACATGCCTGAGTTGTGAGCTCCATTCCTAGTAAAGGACACTAAGGAAGCAGCCTATCAATGATTCTCTCTCATCATTGATGTTTCTATTTTTCTCTCTCTAGAGCCTTTCCTCTTGAAAGCAATAAAAATGTTTTTTATTTTTATTTTTTTTATTAAGGTATTATATGTGTACATATCTTACCATTGCCCCCATCCATCCCATTCCCATACATGCCCTCACCCCCCAGATTTTGCATCTGTTGGTTATGCTTATATGACTGCATAAAGTCCTTTGGTTGATCTCTTATGTCCCCCACATCTCCCTAACCTTCCCACTGTAATTTGAGTCTGTTTCATGCTTTATTGTTTCTGTATCTATATTTTTATTTATCAGTTTATAATGTTCTTTATTACCCATAAATGGGTGAGATCATGAGGTATTTTTCTTTCATTGACTGGCTTATTTCACTCAGCATAATGTTCTCCAATTCCATCCAGGTTGCTGCAAATGATAAGAATACCTTCTTTTTTATGGCAGTATAGTATTCCATTGTGTAGATGTACCATGGTTTTCTGATCCAATCATCTGCTCATGGGTACCTAGGCTGTTTCCAAATCTTAGTTATTGTAAATTGTGCTTCTATGAACATAGGAGTGCATAGTATGTCCTTTCTGACAGGCACCTAGGCTATTTCCAAATATTACCAATTATAAATTGTGCTGCTATGAACATAGGAGTGCATATATCCTTTCTGATTGGTGTTTCTAGTTTCTTAGGATATGGTCCTAGGAGTGGGATTACTGGGTTAAATGCGAATTCCATTTTCAGCTTTTTGAGGAAACTCCATACTTTTCTCCACAGTGGCTGGATCAGTCTGCATTCCTACCAGCAGTGCACGAGGGTTCCTTTTTCTCCCCAACATCGCCAACACTTGTCCTTTGTTGATTTGTTGATGTTGGCCATTCTGACAGGTGTGAGATGGTACCGCATTGTTGTTTTGACTTGCATCTCTCGGATAATTGGTGACTTTGAGCATGTTTTCATGTGCCTTTTGGCCTTCCTTCTGTCTTCTTTTAAAAATATTCTATTTAGGTCCAATGCCCATTTCTTAATTGGATTATTCATCTTCCTTTTATTTAGTTGTATAAGCTGTCTGTAGATGTTGGAGATTAAACCTTTATCCGTGGTATTATTTGCAAATATGTTCTCACCATGGGCTTTCTTGTTGTTTTGTTGATGGTTTCTTTTGCTGTAAAAAAGCTTTTTATTTTGATGTAGTCCCATTTGTTTATTTTCTCTTTAGCTTCCATTGCCCTAGGGGCAGTATCAGTGAAGAAGTTCTTTTGGCATACGTCTGAGATTTTGCTGCCTGTGGATGCTTCTAGTATTTTTATGGTTTCCCATCTGATGTTTAAGTCCTGTATCCATTTTCAGTTTATTTTTGTGTATGGTGTAAGTTGGTGATCTAGTTTCATTCCTTTGCATGTGTCTGTCCAATTTTCCCAACACCATTTATTGAAGAAACTGTCTTGACTCTATTGTATATTCATGCCTCCTTTGTCAAATATTGAACATAGTGATTTGGGTTGATATCTGGGTTCTCGATTCGATTCCATTGATCAATATGTCTGTTCTTGTGCCAGTACCAGGCTGTTTTGAGAACAGTGGCTTTGTAATACAGTTTGAACTCTGGTATTGAGATCCCTCCTACTTTACTATTTTTTATCAGGATTGCTGTGGATATTTGGGGTCTTTTATTTTTTTTTAATTTTTTTAATAAGTTTTTATTGTTCATATTATTACAAATGTTCCTTCCCCCCCCCCCCACACCATTGCTCTCCTCCACCAGGTTCCCACCCCCACCCTCTGCCGTTTCCCCTCTTCCCATTGTCCTCATCCATAGGTGCACAGTTTATGTTCAGTCTCTTCCCACGCCCCCCTCTCCTGTTTTCCCCAAGAATCGTCAGTTCACTCCCCTTCCATACCTCTGATTCTATTATATTCAATAGTTAATATTGTTCATCAGATTTTTTAAATTTCCTTGGTTTTTAGATTCACTTGTTGATAGTTACGTATTTGTTGTTCATAATTTTTATCTTTGTTTACTTTCTCTTCTAAAAGAACCCCCTTCAGCAATTCATATAATTCTGGTTTGGCGGTGATGAACTCCTTTAGCTTTTTTTTATTAGTGAAGCTCTTTATCTGGCCTTCGATTCTGAGTGATAGCTTTGCTGGGTAGATTATTTTTGGCTGTAGGTTCTTGCTATTCATCACCTTGAATATTTCTTGCCATTCCCTTCTGGCCTGCATGGTTTCTGTTGAGAAGTCAGCTGACAATCGTATAGGTGCTCCTTTATAGGTAACTACCTTCTTTGCTCTTGCTGCTTTTAATATTCTCTCTTTTCTTTTGCTCTTGGAATCTTAATTATGATGTGTCTCGGTGTGGTCCTCTTTGGATTCCTTTTGTTTGGAGTTCTGTGCGCTTCCTGGACTTGTAAGTCTAATTCTTTCACCAGGTGGGGGAAGTTTTCTGTCACTATTTCTTTCAGTATGTTTTCGATATCTTGCTCTCTCTCATCTTCTGGGACCCCAATAATTCTGATGTTGGTTCTCTTAAAGTTGTCCCAGAGGTTTCTTACATTATCTTCAATTTTCTGGATTCTCTTGCCTTCTAGCTTCTGTGGAGGAGTGTCTTCTGGCTCTTTATGTTCCAAATCTTTGACTTGATTCTTGTGATCTTCCCTTCTTTTTTTAGGACTCTGTAAAATATTTTTTATTTCAGACAATGTATTCTTTATTTCTTGTTGATCCCTTATCATTTCTTGATGACTCCTTATTAATTCTAGTTGATCTCTTTTCATATCCTCATAGGCCTTATCCATCTTTTCTAGGAAATTCTTGAAAAACCATATAAGCGTAGATTTGAACTCTATATCCAGACACTTTTTATCCTCCATTTCTTTCGTTTGTGATATATTTTGTTGTCGCATTTCGCAGTGACAGATGGGACGGGGTTTCAGGGTGGAGCCTGCAGCTTTGGCTTCCGTCAGCCCCGCCCTATGCGGGTCAGACAGTGCTCGCTGCCAGTGCCTCTGAGAGAAAGGTGCCCTCGATTTTCGCCTGCTGCCAAACAGTCTATGCTCTCCCACAATGAGCCCGGTATTGAGGTTCAGTTCAGTTGGAAGTGGAGTTGGAGGTGGCGTTCAGAGCAGTCTGGAGCTCCAGTCTCCTTCCCATTAGGGCAATCCCACGGCACAGCCGAATGTCCCATCTCTGTGCACAGTGTGCGCACCGCCGGGACCTCCTTTCGCCACTTCCCCAGGGTTCTGCCTTACAGCCCGGCTCCCTATGGCTGAGCCTGAGTCCCCGGGGTCTGGCTTAAAACTGGGGATCAGAGCAGTCGGGGGCCCAGCACAGTTGGAGTTTTATCTCCTTTCCGCTAGGGAACGCCCGCCAGGCACTCGGCCTCCCTCCTCTCTGGCTCTGTCCTCTCCGCGCACCGCGTCTCCGTACCTTGGCTTTTCCAGCTCTTCCGCACCTCCTTCTGGTTTTCTCCTTGCTTCTCGCTGTAGAATTTCCAGTCAGTCAACCTTCCTGTAGTTCTGGGCAATGTCCATTTTATATTTTAGTTGTATTTTATTGAAATTGTTGTGTGCTGCTGCGGCTAGGTGTTCACCTGGGTGCAGCCATCTTGGATCTCTCCTCGGGGTCTTTTATTGTTCCAAATGAACTTTTGGAGAGTTCTTTCTAGGTCAGTGAAATATGCCATTGGTATTTTAATGGGGAGTGCATTGAACCTATAGATTGCTTTAGGAAGTATGGACATTTTGATGATGTTGATTCTACCAATCCATGAACATGGTATGTTCTTCCATCTGTTTACATCTTCCTCTATCTCTTTTATCAGTGTCCTGTAGTTTTCCGCGTATAGGCCCTTTACTTCCTTAGTTAAATTTATTCCTAGGTATCTTAATTTTTTTGGTGCGTTGGTAAATGGAATTGCTTTTTTTAGTCTCTGTTTCTGTAGTTTCACTGTTGGTGTATAGAAATGCCATGGATTTCTTGGCATTAATTTTGTATCCTGCTACATTGCCAAATTCATTTATTAAGTCATTTTGTTTTTTAATGGAGTCTTTTGTGTTTTTTATGTAGTATATCATGTCATCTGCAAATAAGGATAACTTTACTTTTTCTTTTCCAATTTGGATGCCTTTTATTTCCTCCTCTTGTCTAATTGCAATGGCTAGTATTTTCAGTACTATGTCAAACAGGAGTGGCGAGAGTGGGCATCCCTGTCTTGTTCCTGTTCTTAGAGGGAATGGTTTTAGTTTTTTCCCATTGAGTATGACGTTGGCTGTGGGTTTATCATATATAGCTTTTATTATGTTGAGGTATGATCCTTGTACTCCCATCTTGTTAAGAGTTTTTATCAGGAAAGGGTGTTGGATTTTATCAAATGCTTTTTCTGCATCAATTGATATGACTATATGATTTTTATCTTTCAATTTTTTTTATCACGTTTATTGATTTGTAGATATTGTACCAACCTTGCATTCCTGGAATAAATCCTACTTGGTCATGGTGTATGATCTTTGTGATGCTCTGCTGGAGCCGATTTGTTAGAATTTTGTTGAGGATTTTGGCATCTATGTTTATGAGGGATATTGGCCTGTAATTCTCTTTCATTGAGTTGTCTTTATCTGGTTTTGGTATTAAGGTGATGCTGGATTCATAGAAGGAGTTTGGAAGTGTTCCTTCCTCTTGGATATTTTGGAATAGTCTGAGGAGGATAGGTTTTAGTTCTTCCTTGAATGTTAGGAAAAACTCTCCTGTGAAGCCATCTGGCCCTGGGCTTTTGTTTGCTGGAAGTT